AGCTGTCTCCCTGTGCATAAACAGCCCTTCTTTCTCCCATGATTGTTCTCTCCAAGGAGTGTGTCTACCTAGGGTAAATGTTCACCTCATATGCCTGTCTTTTGTTTGGCTGGAAGCCACAGGTATGGGTTCAATTCCAGACCTGAAGGGTAACTAGGGGCCATAGTCTCAGTGGTATCATCAGGCTCTATCAGCCCAGAAAACCTGGTCCTTTTTTTTTTTTTCTTTATTCAAATGATTTTGAGTTTTATTCCACATTGTTCTCCCTCTCTATCCAGGAGATCCTACATAGATCATCCTCTGAGTGGTTGCAGTGGTAGCCAGGCACCATCTAGTTCTTCTGGTCTCATAGTCATATATGCTGAAGATTTCATGGTGTACCAGTTGCTTGGACTAATTGTTTCTATGAATCTTTGGTTTTCTTCATTCTTCCTTGCTCTGGACATGGAGACACCCATCATTGCATCTAGATGGCTGCTTGCAAGCTTTTAAAATGCCAGTCACTACTTTCCAAGTAGGAGGTGGAATAGTGTTTTGTGTAGTATGTTATGCCAATTGAGCTTGATGTTCCCTGCGTCTATGGTCCTGAGCCCACAGGTTCAACTACTTGCTCCCTCTGGGTAGCTGGCTGTGGCCAACAAGTGACTACAACCTTGTCCCTTGTCAGCTCTACTATGCACCTGGGAATTCTAATGTAAGACTTTTTTATGTTGTCTGAGGAAATTTGACCTTATCTCATGAATGAGTGGAAATCACTGGGGGATTTTAGGCAGAAGGATCACATTATTTAGTGACAATAGGTCACTCTGATATCCAGAAGAAGGGAGATTTTAAGAGAGATCAGACTGGAGATTGGGAGACCAATTAGTAGAGTGTCCATGCATCCCAGTTTTCCATGTGAATGGTCCCAATTTGTGCCACCCCCTCGTTATTTTTAATATCACTTTCATTTTCTTTGTGTCCCAGTTTGGATGATATATTCCATGGTCAGCCCTCTAATTAATAGGTAGTGGTCCACAGAAGGCTTTATGAGGTCCATGGTTTATCAGAGCTTTAATGGATGGAACCCAACACTATCAGAAAGAACAGGTACTTTTAACACCAATGCAGTCCCCTAAATCCACCCCTCACACAATTCTGAGCTGGGATAAAGGGATCCCAGTGAAGACATAGTAGGCCTCAGTCAAATGTTAAATATTGTAAATATGTAATGACTGACTGGTTAACCACTCAGTGGGGTAGCTGTTTATTTATCATCACTGATTGCACATACCTGAGAAACCTGAAAAGAAATTAGAAATGAAGTCATAAGCAACCAGTGAAGAAAATATAAAAGATCACCCTTAGTAGTGCAGGGGCATGAGGCCTCACCTCTGTTCTTGAAATGGAACTGAATTGTCACTGAAGATTTTGATACTGGCATGAGGGTAGCAGAAAAGATGGAGAAACCTTGCTAAAGTTTCATCAGTCTGAGGTCACTATAACCTTGGAAGATGGTAAGTATAGAGGCAATTTAGTTAACTGAAAGAAACAATTGTTCATTTCTTAGTGCATGTATTTAATCACGAGCTGTCACTTGGGCCTACTGTTAGAGCCTAGAAAGGTTACTTGGTGACAATAATTGGGACATGTTTTAAAAAAGAGAATGAGGTAAGGAGACACAAGAGAAAAGGGATATTGATATCAGAAATACACTTTAGAAAGGAGAAAAATATGAATAAGATGATATGAAAGGGTGAATGGCTGTCATTTCCTTTATTTTTTTAAAGTTTCTCCCTCCAATTTCTCATATTGTACATATGAGGCAGGCCTTCCCCACTCTAATCTCACTATTACCTTGTATTTATATATATAGTGCTTATCTTCCAGAAGCTCACAGGACTACCTCTAAATCCATGCAGCTTTAGAAAGTGTTGCTTAACAAAAGGAGAATACTTTTGTTTGATCAGTCACATCTTTAAATGTTCTAGTGGGAGCTTGTGGTTGATTAGGTCTGCTGCTTGCTTATTGGCCTGCACACATGCATGCCATAGTTCCACAGTTTTCCAGGCAAGAGAAAATATGAGATTATGGTTTTGCAACTAGGAGCCAGGCCTGCCACCATCATTTGCTTTCAAGTATGATACAAAGAGATGTTTCTAATCTGCAAATTACCCAGTATGCTGATTTACCTTTTTGATTCTTGGTGTCCCTGAACTATTTCTGCTGATTATCTCTCTATTTGGAGGCTAAGTCTATAGACAGGACAATTTGCCTGAATTTTTAACCTTGGACTTTTCCCCCCATTTACATTTTTTAGATTGTTATTTGCAGAATTTCATTTCATCATATTTATTTCCTAAGATTTTTGCTTCAGAGAAATAGAAGTGAATGAAAAATAATTCTCTGAGGTGGAAAGAGATGAGCTTGGTGATTAAAATATTGTAGTAGCTCCTTTAGAAATTTTTGTTGAATCTGTTATTCTTTTAAAAGCTGGCATGTTTCCAATGTATCCATAATTTAATGAACATCAAACTCATATAATTTCCTTGGATTGACTAGTAGTTGACCTCTTCATATTTTTCATCTAGCTAAAAATTGATTTTCAGAAAAGTGAAGTTGGTTAAAAGTAATGCCTTTCCCACGCACAATTCTAGTGGCTTATTATATTCTTACAAAGGCGCCTTAAAGTTCTCTCAGCTCTTGCAGTCATTCCTATTTCCCTGCCTTCTCTTCCTTCTTTTTGTTTCCCAGCTTCTCCTTTTTCCTCTTTCCACTCTTGGAAGTTAAAAGGACACTATGCTTATTCACTATTGTGAAAACACATAAGAATAAATAAACTAGGAGAAAATGAGTAAGACATTTGTTTTAATCTCTGGCACATAAATTTATTGCATATTTCATAAATAAGTTATAGTGAATAATCCCATAGTGTATCAAATAGGTTCATGAGGTGATTGGAAAAAAAATTGTTGGTTGTATTGTTTTATATTAAAAATAATATTAATAATACTTGTTTTTTATTTAAATGAATGCTTGCTGTGAGACTGGATAGTCCTAGGCATATAACATAGCTATCCCTAATCCTTACAGTGACTCTAGAGGTATCAAATATCGAATGTATGTTCTCCTCTCACATTGAAAAACTCAGGTAGAGATATATTCCGAGTGCACAATTGCAAAGATAAAGAACTCAATTACAAAAGCTGTTCTTAACTCATAACTATGTCTACTTAAATTACAACAAAATTATGTCACCAATATTTATTTAATTCATTGAAATGTGACAACCAGGTAAAGAAAACCAAGAGCAGTTTCCTCTTTGATTCATTGACATTTTTTTGCTATATGTAACACACACACACATACACACAATTAAAATAAAAATTGACAATCTTTGGCCAAAGCCCCAGTGGTTTCAGTGGAATTCTAAAGCTAAAATGACTATGTTAGAGTTGTTTTGAGGGATTTATTTTGTAGTAGGCTTGACTTTTTGTGTGCTGTATTGATTGACAATATATATAAAGGTTTTGTTGCCAGGTATATAAAAATAGCCTTTTCTATTTTTTATGTCACAACATCATGTGCAGATAAGAACTCTGATTAGAGAGTAATTAGTTAATAAACCCACCTTTTTGTTTATTCTAGGATTCACGAAGGATTCATAAAACATCACTGCATAGCAATGCAGCTATCACAATGATCTATTTTGGGAAAAATGTGCACCTCTCTTATGATGACTCAGACTTCCGGGATGAAATAAAAGTTTACCAACAGCACTGTGGTGGGGAAAACCTTTGTGTCTACAAAGGCAAACTACTTGAAAAAGGTACACATAAAGCATGGAATATTTTATTATTATTATTATTATTATTATTATTATTGTGATTTGGGTGAAAGTTTACAGAGTAATTTAATTTTCCATACAGCAGTTGATAACACATTTTGTCTCATGACATTAACTGCAATTTCCCATAATGTAACAGCTCACTTCCCACTTCCTCTCCATAGTTACTTCTTCCCTGTGTCTTTCCCTCCCATGCACTCCTGCCCTGAGTGGTCTCCCTGTGCACACACTGCCCTTCTGTTCTCCCATAACTGATCTCTCCAAGGAGTGTATCTACCTGATATAAATGTTCAGCCCA